CATTATGTAACCCAACACCAGTCACCATGGTGACAGACGTCAACAAATTATGTCATTGGTCAGGTCAGAGGTCACTGTTTGGAGAAGAAGAAGAGGAAGAAACTGAGCAAAAACAATATGTTTTCCTTCAGCAAACATGATTATATAATGAATACGTTCCCTTGAAAAGACCAACTGTTGTAGCCAGGTATATCGAACTGCCCCCGTATAGGTAATACGCGCCTACGGTCAAAGCTAGATAAATGCGCCTAAGAGATCTCTAAAAGTAAGTTCCCTTCATGATCTGGCAAGAAACTGCCATTGGCAAAAAGCAAGCGTAAGCTTTCAGTCAAACTTTTAGCTCGATAGCTCTTGATACTGAACTTTAAACACGAGAAAAACCCTCCCCATACCCGATAAGAGAGGCAGTACGGAATTCGTTGTACAATATTTAGAAAATTTACAATAAGCTCCTTAGCCAGGAAATAAATATAAGATAAATAAATTTAACGGCTCTCAGCGGCCAATGTGCAGATGTTGTCACATCGACGCACCAAATCCGTAGTGTGTTTTTGGCACCCTGACAGACAGATTAGCCTAAGAGGCTCGGTGGGCGTCACTCCACCGTATAGGTGGGGAAGTCGTGTAAAGTGCCTTTCCCAAGGGCACAACGTCGGGCCACGGTGAGTATCGAACCCGGGACCTCTCGGTTCCGAGTCCAACGGATATAAGTATATTGATATTAGAAACTGCACCAATGTTTTTTTTATATATTTTAGCGCATACCTATCCCACACCAGCCATCCACATTTGTACTAGTTAGGATACGCATTATGAAAATGTAGTTCATAAATATGTATTTATTGGATGCCATACTTTGTATCCTGTACAACTGTTGTGCAAGAAAGTTAATGTATGTACTTATAGCAAGGCAACTGCCCTCGTATAAGTAATGCGCGCCTAAGAACAAAGCTAGCTGCACGCGCCTTAGAAATGAAAACAAAAGATTCCATATTGCAAGCTCCCTTCAAGAGCTGGCAAGAACCTGCTTTGGGCAAAAGTCCAGCGTTAGCTTTCAGTCACAAGCATTTGGCTCGATAACTCTGGACTATGGATCCTCCCCATGTCCGATACGAAAGGCAGTATGGAAGTTGCTAGGCGATAGACAACAAAATACTTGGCCGGAAAGCACGTACAGAATTATTGGCAAATCAAGGATCGCTGCAATTATAACTACAGTCGCTAGAGAGCACTCAGGCTTATGCTATTGGTAGCCCGTACAGTACAACAGTCCCAAAGGATTACATACTGCACTTACCTCAAAACGTAACGTCCCAGCAATTAAACAGACACCGCTCACAGTCAGTTCTTCTTTCCATGTCCTCCCTAAAGACCTCTTCTTCCGTTTTAAATCCTAATGAACCACAGTCGACTTACACTGACGAATGAAAAAGGCTTAACCCAAGGACTTTAAACAATGCTAACAGGCAGTTTCCAACAAACCAATATGATCACAAAAAAGTGAGCATGTCTTCTTACCATATAGATCACCATATTTGACCTAATAAAACAGGAAAAGAGTCCCTGAGCTTTCAACCTCATCCGGTTTTGTGATAAATCATCGTTAAAACCATCCGCTATCCCTGACATAACTCTTCTTCCTGTGATACTATACCCTTGTGGATATGCTGTGTGCATAAATTCCAATATCCATGACCATATCCATGTCCATGTCCATAGGATCCTACATAATTGTGGGCCTGCAAGGGGGGGGGGTCCCGACAACGCTCTCGGAAACCTCTCGATTACGCTTTACGATAAATTCCAAGTGGCTACAACGCATTACGTAGAATTAAAACGGCGAATACGCTCTACGCAAAATGCGAAGAGCGGTCCGTCTACGCTCTACGCAGAATTCAAACGGCCGATTACGCTCGGAAAAGGGCTTGCGGGCCCCCATAATTGGCCTGTCGATAGAGTAATCTTAGCTTCCACCAGGCTTTTCTACGGGAGTACGTATACGGATCGTACGGGCTTCGGTAAAAAGGGAAATAATTGGCCAGGAGAGTCAGTCCAATGGAGAGTTAACTTGACCTTAAATGAACTCTACGGTGGCTAAACTCCTCTGGCCAATTATTCTCCGTATTTGGCTTAATTATGCTGTTTTTTTTTTACCTCTTTTGCTACTCTGAGACTATCGCGCATTTATTTTCGCCTGATTTTGAAAAAGAAAACTTTTTTTTATACTGACAGTGGTTAACATGCCGAAAATGGGCAAAGATTTCTGTTACCATGCCGGAACGTAGATGGCAGATAATCATGAAGAGAGGAGACAAGACAAGGCTCTGATTTATTGTTTTGTCTTTTACTTTGATGCATTTTATATGTGACCCAAAACAGATTCAAAACCATTTGTAGAATGATTAAAACTTGTGAACAGTGAACTTAGCACAATGTAGTTATCATTTCTTGTTTTAACAAGGTCTATAATGTCAAAATGTAAAATGTAGGAATCTTGTTTTTTTTGGGGGGGGGCGCCTTTTTTTCGTCTGCGGAGGAAGTCATCCATAGAATTTACTTGCTGTGGCCTAGTCAGTGTAGCTCTACAGTAAGGCCGCAGCAAGTAAATTTTATGGATGACATCCTCCGCAGACTCCAGATCTAATGCGAGCGGGCGAAAAAAACAAGGTTCCTACATTTTAAAATTTTGACTCAATCATTGTACAAATGGTTTTGATTCAGTGGGAACATCACATATACACAGCCAACATCACATATCATTGCATCAAAGTAAGAATCAGAGCCTTTTCTTGTCTCCTCTCTTAATAGTTATCTGCCATCCACCTTCCGGCAACATGGCAACAGACATCTTTGCCCATTTTAGGCATGGTGATTACTGTCAGAAGGCAACAAAATTTCTTGTTTTTTTTTTTCCAAAATCAGGCGAAAATTAATGCGCGCGCTGATGTCATCCATAAAAATTACTTGCTGTGGCCTAATGTAGCTGGTGGGACCTTGAGCGAACTTAGGCGAGTAGCCTTGTCGCGAGAATTCCTCAAGGACGCTCAAATTTCCATGTTGTTTCATGGTGTTTGACAGGAAATGCCGCAGACTTATCGAAGAAAAATCGTTGACTAAATTTCCGAATTAGCTTACATAAGGTCATAGGCAGAATGAAATACTTCAATGCACATGTAGCAATTTAAGGACAGTAAAACTGGGTTTTTGAAGTCAATTTCTGGTCATTTTTAAGTACGTTGAATCAATTTTTATCCCATTGCATACTGATATCTGTTAGGCGAAACCGCGATGTTGCTGATGGAAAACGGTTGCTTGTTTATTTCATATTGCAGGCACCCAGGCTGGTTTTAGCTATGCATTAGTAGTAGTATGTCTTTTGTTGTTGTTTTGCCGCCCTCAAATTGCATTGGATGCCTTTATTCCTACCTAACTACCCACTTCTCAGTTGGTCATAGCAGGTAAAGCTATTCATAAATTATGCAAATACGGTTATGTTTTGAATAAATTATGTTTATTGATGCTCACCTTGACTTCACTTCCAAACGCGGCAAGTATGAAATGCCTAACAGTTACCACAATTATGGCAATTCCCATTAGTTATGCAAATTAGCTCTTCATTTACATAAAATATATCTTCAGATTTTCCTCTCATTGCCAATTACATATGTCACAAGTGTTCCATAGGCCTATTGTAAAATACATAAGATTTCTAGAAATGCCTCATTAATTATGCAAATTAGCTCCTGATTTGCATAATCACCACACACACACACAAACAAACGTTACTGAAAACGTAGCCTTTTTGGCGACGGTAAATATCAGTGTTTTTTCTTTGCCTGTAATAAATTGTAATGTGGACCCACGTGTGCCAAGTGTGACCGTTAGTTTTAAGTGGGGAAATCAACAAAGCTCACCGTTTTGCTTACTAGGACCGTTTCCAAGTAAGAGTACAGAGCGATGCACTAAAGTTAATCGAATGAAACAATCATGATATAATAGGTAGCTATAGAAATTGGCCTCGGCGATTGTACGTCGCGTGTATTGTCATATTTGTCATATTTTTCACGCTTTTCAGTGGGATTTTTTTAATGGGGTGAAATACGTGTCCTCACAAGCAAACATGGAGACAGGACACATGTCTATGGTTTGGATTTTAGTGTTTATGTACTTATTCATCTATCAGCTTGTATGGCGAATCCTTTTACATAACAGTGCGTATCAGAAATGTATTGTACGGCACACATTACAGTATGAACGTTGTTGCCGTCCAACATCATCTTCCATTCCAAAACATGTTTTGGAATAACACGTGCACGTTTTGGAAGGCAATAATGGTTGTCCCATATCCACTTCAGTACCTCCTACCCTCTATTTGAAGAATACGGGTGTAGAAAAGTTCTGTATGACAAAGTGAAACAATTTTCATAACTTAACTTGGTAGTCCGAGTATATATAATAATAATGACCCAAGCGCTAAAAATCCCATTCACACACAATTATCTGAGCAAAGTCCCTCCAAAATTCATTGAACGGCAAAAAACACCCTGCCCCCACCCGCCCATGTTCTAATGGACTAATCCGCGGAGACAATACCCCCTATGATAACGTAAACAGGTGCTTCAAAAGAACCATTTGTCCGGACTGATCACCTATATCAATCGGTTTGGGGTCACGGAGAGACTCCCCACAAAATGTCAGCCACAGCCATAACAGTACAGCCGGCGTCCGGGCCTATTCACACACCGTACGGGCGGTGAAACCAGACCCGTGGAGACGCCGCTTGTAGAGGGCGATTACACTTCAGATATAGGCGTCGGTGTCGTCTTGAAGACTCACCTGTTTTCCTTGCCGGTGAAAGTGAAGACGATCTTCTGTGAGTGCCACTCCTTCTTAGGATCAAAGTTTGCGACGGGACTGAAAGAGGTTTGAACCGCAGGTGGCTGTTATGTAGGCTACAGAGTTCCCGCGTAGCTAGAGTGTTAGGAAGACTATAGAGACCTTTGAAAACAAGACTCAGAACTGAGCCGTTATGGCGAGGCCGCGGTCGGTCCGACCGTTCAGTCGGCCTCAGTCGGCTCCCGTCGTCTCCCTCCGAAGACACATCATCCGCTCGGTGCCGCCGAAGAGCCGAGACGACAGTTTCCGACCGGGCTCGCCGTCGTCTGAAGAGTAAGTACAACATACATACAACCGCTTGCCGTCCGAAATACGAACCGTCGGGAGCGGTCGTAGGACCGCCGTACGACAGAAAACCGACCAACGATTAGTATCTAAGTCAGCCATTTTCAATATAAGTACAGCTTAATTTTCTGCGACAAGAGCACGACTATTCCCAAGAATGCACGATCAATTTGCAACCCTACGATCGGCGATCGTAGAACGTTTGCGACCAGACCCTAAATTATTTGCGTTGTCGCCGATACATGTCAACATTCGGAATTCGCAGACTAGGTAACCAAGTCGGCAAACACGTTCGTCTAATAAATAGAACATTTTATTTGTTACACTAAATCATAGAACACAGTACTAAACTATTAAGTAATCTGTTACGTTATACGTATTACACGTATTGTAAACAAAAACCACACAACGTATCCAAGGTGACGTTTTCAAAGATTAATATGGTCATTTTTCAAATGTTTCCCCCTACCTACAACGTCAGAAGTCTGCCAACATTTCTGCTAGAAATAATTAGCTGAAACGCAGTTCATGTTACGAAAAAGCACGTACGATTTCGCCAATTAAAAAGAAATAGTTTACAAGAGCAAGAGATTAAATTAGACCAGGTAGCGACGACAGGACCGAACGATGTGTTTAGAAGCAGGTGTAACCTATACCGGCACAAAAGATACTGTCATACGAAGAGCACTGAAAGGGAGACGGTAATTTACGGGCGGGGGACCGTGACAAGAAGTATTCTCCCCGGGACAGAATAGCCGGCTATGCACGACAAATGAACCCGGTCCGACGCGGTAGAACTCCGGCTATTTTGATACTGTTGCTAGCATTTGTATATGTTATGAGGAAGGGGGTGGGGGAGGGTATTTTTTAGTCTCTACCAGGCCTTCCTACGGGGGTACGGATCGTAGAATTCGGCAAAAAAAGTGTTGGCCAGGAGAGTTAGTCTGCGAAAGAGTTAATTTCTCCTTCCAAACTACGCGGGCAAATGACCTCTACACTGGCTTAACTCCCCTGGCCAATTATTCTCCCTATTTGCCTAATTTTTTTACTGTTTATGAACCCACGTTGGTAGTCTAGTGGAGATAAGGTTGACTCAGGGCTTTCAGAATTGAAACATATCAGTCTGGTGCAGAAAACAATTTGACGTAATTAGTTCTTTTCCCACGACAATTTGAGTCAAACAATTGCAAAGGGCAGCTATCAAATAAGTAGTCACGTATCCAAGACCGCAGGCATAGAAACCGCAATGTACATCTGACATCTGTTTCTATATCCTTCCCTGTTAAACACGTATAAGAACGCTGACAAAATAGTCTAATTGTCGCTATTTTCCAGATGGCACGGCCAAACATAAAACTGTACATTAGATTCTGGGACATAAAAATCACCTTATATGCCACAATGTTGCACATTCTTAAAGGCACCCAAAGCGATTTTAGGGCAGTAAAACTAAATTTTCAAAGTCAATTTTCTGGTCATAATTTGAATCAACCCTATCCCATAGCATACTAATATCTGTAAGGCAAAAATGCGATGTCACTGACGGAAAACGGTTACTTGTTTCGCATCGCACACTGGTTCTAGCTAGGTTTATGGGTGGTACCAAAAAATAAAGGACTCGATCCTTGCGTAGCTTGTTTTTGGCTATTTTTTACTACCAAATCATGCAAATGCATGTATCCCCGTTACGTTTTGATTACTACATTTTTAAGCATATTGAGGCATATAGATCGTTGTTTACGGCCTTGAGTAAAATTGTCGTCCAGCAAGGAACTTAGGCAGTCAAAATATCACCCTTCGCTCTGAGCGGTTCATAAATATTTTGGTACCCGGTAACAAAGACTGGCTAGCTCCCCGCAGCGGCGGGCATTCTTCATAAATCTTACAATTATACCAACATATACTGACAGCTTCCTCCGTAGCTAAGGTGGAAGAAAGGACACGTAACTAGCATTGTTCCCCATAACCTATTTACCATAATGCGATTAGACAGTTTCTGTCGACACTGAATGTCTTTGCGTGGCAACCGTTGGAACTGTACAGGACGCGAAGGATTCAAGGACAAAAAAAGGTTGAGACAATATAACGGAAGGAAATATAGGTCAGTTACAAAAGGGGTTATGTTTCAAAATAGACGTATGGCGTTTTTGTAGCCTCTACCAGGCTTCAGAAGCGGCTGGAAAGAGTAAAACTTGGCCGAAGAGACAGCTAATATGCCATGGGAGTTGGTCCGCTGCAAACTCCAAAACCGTACTCCTTTAGTGGACCAACTCTCCTTGCATGTTTTCCGTGTATTTGGCAAATTCTGCTTTTTCCGGCCGCTTCTAAAGCTTTGTAGAGGCTACCCAAGTGCTACGTACTTATGAATAATTGTATTCTGGTTCCCAAAACCTAAAAATAAACCAGTGGGCATTTATATTATTTTTTTTTCCGTCAACTATAGAGTATTTTTACGTAATTGTTTTTGAGGTATTTGGAAAAGAGAATATTTGTATTTGCCTGTGCTGTTTGCCCCTGCTTTGTCGTGAAACGTTTTATAGCCACTATCATATTGATCATTAACATCATATGTGGACTATAGACGACAAAACGTTGAATTGAATTGATAGTTTATATATTAGATACAACTAATAACAGACTATGTACATATTGCGGATATGGTGCGTAAATACTGTAATTGCTAAGTCATCTAAATGTCTTATAAACGTTTTTAATGCCATAATGATAGATCATCAACGATGCATATAAAGAGGAGTATAAGCATGTAATTGTATCGCTGTCAAAACCCGTCATTTTGTTTTTCTCTCCGTTAGGCCACAGCAAGTTATTTTTATGGATGACATCATCACGCGCATTGATTTTCTTGATAATTCTCAATTAGCTTGATTTAAAGAAAAGTTTTAAGATTTTTTGGCCCTCTGACAATGGTCAACATGCCGAAAATGGGCAAATACGTTGTAATTTTTAATGCCTATCGGTTCGGAGACCAATAGGGATCCAGCAAAATTGAGGCACAATTGTTCGCAAATGTTGACACTGACATGTTACATCGCATCCAATTGCAATCAAGTATAATAGCTGCCTAGCATATACGACAGCCCGTTTTGCTACAATTTCTAGTTAATTCAGGTCCTTACATATCTACAAGACCAGGTAATACTGTTGAATACAAGAATAAAAGACCTGTTTGGTTGTGCTATCATATTGTGTCACCTCTAATACTAAACCACGATAAACCTCAATTCTTTTTAAACAAGATCTCAAAATTTGAAAATTTAGGAATCTTTTTTTGCACCCCTTTTTTCATCCGATCGCATTAGATTTGGAGTCTGCGGAGGAAAAGATAATACAATAATAATCCACAATAAACCTCAATTCTGTTTAAAGTTAAAACTTTTGGTCCAACACAAAAAGTTCTCTCACCTAGAGCTTTCGACCAGTCACTCTGGTCTTCCTCAGTAGACTGACCCAGTGAAGCCTCAATTCTTTTTAAACAAGGCTTAAGACATCAAAATTTGAAAATTTAGGAATCTTGCTTTTTTTCATCGTATGTGAAGACTGCGGAGGATGTCATCCATCAAATTTACTTACTGTGGCCTTATTATTAATTGCCCGTACATAATTGGTTCCTCCGTCGGTATGTACCGATGGCCGGTGCGGCGGTAGTGTATTGTGTGTGTTGACCCGACTGTTGTTGTAGTGGTCACCTCTGACCGGGGTAAGCAAACTTACATCAACCCCAACACTTCAGGTACCCGCTAAGTACACAGTAAGTGTCATATCCACGACGTGTGAATAAACCACCATTGTTAGGACTATCAGCGATATGTACGTATACTTTACCTGGTGAAACAGACCTTAAAAAAGACTTCTAAAATCGTTTAACCTCCTAAAGCACACAGCAAATGTCAGTTCCAGTGTAAGGCTACAGCAAGTAATTTTTATGGATGACATCAGCGCGTGCATTAATTTTCGCCTGATTTTGGAAAAAAAAAACAAGAAATTTTGTTGCCTCTGACAGTGGTCAGCATGCCGAAAATGGGCAAAGATGTCTGTTGCCATGCCGGAAGGTGGATGGCAGATAGCTATGAAGAGAGGAGACAAGAAAAGGCTCTGATTTAATGTTTTGTTTCTTACTTTGATGCAGTGATATGTGATGCTGGCTGTGTATATGTGATGTTCCCACTGAATCAAAATCATTTGTACAATGATTGAGTCAAAATTTTAAATTGTAGGAACCTTGTTTTGCTGTTTTTTTGCCCGCTCGCATTAGATTTAGAGTCTGCGGAGGACGTCATCCATTAAATTTACTTGCTGTGGCCTAAGTGAATAAACCACCATTGTTAAAGGCATCCTATACAATTTTAGAACAGTAAAAGTGGATTTTCAAAGTCAATTTTCTTATTCTTCTTAATATAGTGAGAATTAACCCTATCCCATATCATACTAATTTTTGTGACGCAAAAATTCGATGTCACTGAAGGTTGCTTGTTACGTATCGTAGGCTGGTTCTACCTATTTATTGGTGGTACCAAAAATATAGAGACTCCTAATGTACCTTAAGCTTGCTTTTGGTCTATTTCAAACGGTTATGATACCGAAAATATGCTGCCATTTCGCAGAAATATAAATATGATATTCCTTATCCAGAATATTTTCTGTTTTGCCGCCCTAAAATCGGATTTCCATGGTGAAACAGGCCTCAGAAAGATTTCTAAAAAATTGAAAAGCACACAGCAAATATCAGATCCGGTATGCGTAAATAGACCTCCATTGTTAAAGCTGTTCGTAGTATTGTGAAGTTCATGCGGCCTGAGAAACGGCGTCGTATGGGGCCTAGATACCTTGAGTTAACTTAGGCATTTCTTATGTTCTCAACACAAAGAACACTGTCAGCAAATACGGCAGTAATGTTCACTCTAAACGTTATATCTTGGGATCAATTGATTGATAATACATTTGTATTACACTTTTATTATTATATACTCTGTATACCTGTATATCTGTATACCTAATACACTGTCTGTATATACGCTCTCTATGACTCCATGCTGCTACTAGCCCTCGGGCATGAACTTGTAAATAAACTACTACTTGATATCTACATGTACTCTGATGGTAGAGCCTGCTCTAGCATTGGACGTTTTTGAATAAACCACGAAGCGTTTAAAACTAGCTCTGTAGTTTTCTTTATGTTTTTTTTAATCAGAGGGAAAGGCCACTAAATCAAGATTTTAGTCTAAACCTCAGTAAACAAAACCATCAGAAATTCTTGTCAAACTTGAAGGGTCCGAGTTAAAATACATAAAACGGATAAAGAAAGTGGATGAAGAATTCCATACCGACCTTTCCCACTTTATTGGAATCGCCCAGATATCACGGTATCTGGGTGGCACATTGGAGCAAACCATTAGGAATTTGAGGGTTCTGAGTGATAATTTTGAAACGAATTAAGTGGATGAATAATTCTAAATGCCCCCTTCCCCGTTTATGAAATGGAACGGTCCAGATCCATGTATCTGGGCGGTAAACTGTTGTTTGTTTTGACAGACATGTTAACAGACTATCAATGCACAAACACTCGTATCGAGTATCGTCCGAGCCAGATAAACATGACAGGAGTTTTGTGTCAAGCCTGGCCCAGTATTTACCCCACACGGCTCGCGGTACGGCTTTGTTGTTCCCAACTCCATGGAGTTGTTTTTAACAGGTGTGACACACACAAATTCTACACCTATGTTATTTGACGTCGTGCAAAATATACTGCGTTTCACCTAGATCTAAAACAGTAGAATTTAGCCAAACAGGGAGAATACTTGGCCAGGGGACTGGCTACCGCTGAGTTCATTTGCTATAACATGAAGTCCTAACCCTACCTAAGAATTCTACCATCCTATAGCTAACTAAGCTTTATATATATATGAAGGCCTGGTGTAGGCTAGTAGAGTTGTAGGTGTTAACGAATGTCTCGGTTGTTGCTTTCGTTGTGATAACAAAGTTTACTACAATTCTAGTGATATTTTAGTACAGTTTGCACAATGTACATCAGTGTATTACTTGCAACTAGCCTCCGGGCAAGATTTTGCAATGAGCTTATCATTACATGACATCCCTTCTACTAGTTCTGAAACATTAAGCAACTCTTGCCAGTATTTTGCAAGTATTACACAGTGAACTTTATTGACACGGCGATTGTTGTAAGTTCTTTAACTAGACATGCAAACATATACGTGGGTACAACAGAATAGACCAACGTACAAGACTATAGATGAATCTACTTTTACTACTAGTACTTGTTCTAAAGTCTAAACATTCTTTGATACATTTACATATTTGTACACAGTAAGGGTTATTACCTTCTAGAATTAAATTAGATTTATATATAGCATGAACTGTAACAAATTCCGTTGAGCAAGCGGAAAGAACGTTAAACACAGTACTTCTCAAATCTCGTCAACAATTTCTTCCACCACAAGTTAAAGATTAGATCGTAGCTTTAATCTTTGCCGATAGCTTCGATGTTGAAGTGGTGGAAAAATATAAATTTCATAGAACGATAATGAAACTTGACTTGAATTTCTTAGAACAATAACAAAACTTGACTTAGCTTAACGACAGTCGTGATATATTTTCAGGCTACCCTAAGGCCTAGCTTTATTTTGTGTGTCGGATACATTACCATTTAAATGAAAACCAAGCAGATGTCGAAGGGAAAAACTGTCCGAAAAAAAACAAGAAGTGACACAACCACTAATAAACTATTACCAAATATGTCTTTTTTGTTAAAAAGAAGTCATGATACATTACGATAATTGCTCATCTAAAAGTCCAGTATTATTATATCAAACAGCATTGATATGCAAATTCCTTTGTTATATTCCTTTGTTATTTCCTTGATTTGTTTTTGTATTATTGTCTTTATTACTATGAGTTGTGGCTCTTGGTTTGACAAGTTTGTTTTATTACCACCTTACTGAGTTGCGGCATTATATAGTACTTTTACTTTTATTTGTACTAAGTTGACTTTAATTTGTACTTATAAGTTGACTTATCATTTTGTTATATCTGTTATTTTCTTGTATATTTTATTTATGTATGCCTGCAGGGCACATTGAAAAACGCCTTAGTGGCGATATGTACACCCTGGGTAAACAAATAAAAACAAACAAACAATTAGCATGAGTACAATTCAAATCACCAAGGTGATCAATTATTTGAGTCACACATAGTCATGACACTCACACTACCCAACCAGCTATTCTCTAACCTCCAAGCAGAGGTTTGGGCTTTGGCTTATTACCTTCGCCAAGAAGGTTATGTTTTTTGACGTATTTAGGCTTTTTTGTCGTGATATCTGTTTTCTTTTTTTTTTCTTAAAGCCAAGAAAAACATACCAGTACAAAGAACAAAATCTAAGAACAAAAAGACAAAAAAGCTTAAATGCACGCCAAAGAAGCCAAAGCCCAAACCTCTGCTTGAAGAGTAGCCATCGCCCCCCCCTCTCGCCAGCTTTTTTTTTTACAAAAAGAACTTCTTGTTCAATTATTTGCTTCATCAGCATTCCCTAACCCAGCTGACTTTTGACACTAGAAACAAGTGTATCGGCCTCTTGGTGACCTCTTCTTGATTCTACAACCTGCATCTGTCACTTTCCGTGACAAATTGTGTTACAAACATGAGATACGATTGGACACCCAGTCATCAGGTCCGGTAGCATGTGTGCAGAGTGCCCTATGAAAATAGACTTAAAGCGCGCGCTTTTCTTTGTTGCCATAGCAACGGCCAAAGGTGGCCTAACACCTGCGATGATGTAACTAGAAGTTCTTTTATTTCCTCTTATCAAAGATCTTGTATATAAACGAGAAAGTCAACTAAGGAGCTAGAGGATGACGTTTTAAGCCTCCACAATACTTTTATTTTCGCTCAAAGCTACAAAAACGGAGGGGTTTCGTTTGCCTATTTCCGTACGTTGTTCGTATAGCTTTGATAAAAAAAGGGATATGGCTACCCTTCAACGTGTTCAAAGCTGTTGTATTTCGACACAAGTCGGGGATGGTTGTGCAAGTGTCGGGAAGCCAAAGCTAGACGGATGGGACGTTCTAGTGACGTTTTCAAGACAACTTACAACATGTGAATTTGATCAGGAATGCTAAGGAACGGTCCTGACGAAGAAAAGAATCGGTCTAAGACTTTCTCATCATGGTACGGGAATGGCCAATCATCGGAGGAGGTTTGGCGACAACGGTAGCAAGAGAAGACGACACAAGACCGGCCTCGGCCTCTACAACAACTACCAAGGAGGTCGCCAAACTCAACGCAAGAAACAGAGAAACAGAGTCAAGAAGCTTGGACTCCAAGAAGCCTCAAAACTTTCCATCTTTGAACCTTCCCAATGTTAAGACTCAGTCTCAGACGTTTATAACGGATGTGCAGATACAGAGCAATAGCGGGAAGCTTGCCGTAATCTGTGAAAACTCGACCCGGGGCTCGGTGTTAGAAAGGGATGATGAGAACAGAGTTACTTGTAGTAAGGCAAAGTCGGTCACGTATCTCTACCCGTCGGAAAAGTTCGTGTTTCCGAGATTACCGCGCGTTGGATTCAGGTAGGACTGGAAAGTCATGATCGAGCTTAGGCTAGTCAAAGTTGCTTCCCCGGTACATTTATTTGAGGTATATAGGGCGGTCCCCATCTCCCTTTCTGTAGCCCCTGGGCCACACGCTGCGCAATCACTACAGGAAGGGGCTAGAATACTGATAGTAGTAAGTGTGTGTCAGCTGGTGTGTGTTCATTCTTTGTGCTAAGTGGAGAAAACAGAAGGTACCTTGTATTTTTAAAACCCTCAAACCACCGTAGGTTTTCTTATTTGCAACGAATCTTACGGTATGGAGTGAAAACTGACCCCATAATGTTTTGCAGGATATAGTTTTTTTGTGACTTTTTTTTTGGTGATTTTTGAGTATGTATAGTTTCATTCATCTCTGAGGGACAATTTGACATGATTAGATTTGAATAATCTTTTATATGACTTGGCCTTTGCACCGGTGCAGGGTTAAGTTTCGGGCCTGCCAAACGGTATAAAAGTAAAGCCATCATTTTTTAAACATTTGAAATATGAAAAAAAGTTGCAGCAATTAAGTGCAAAGACCACACAAAATGCTGTAATTTTTTTTTCAATCATAAAACGTTGTTTTCCTTTTCTCTTAGATCAAATTCTTCCCGTCGGTCGTCGATTTCGTCTTTTTCGTCACTACCGTCGAACCAGGGCGCAAGCGCAGACCCTTTCGGCGTTACTGCGCAGCTGCTGGAGTCCAGCCGCCGCCGCCGGAAGTCGTCCCACCACCGGAAACGGAGTAGCAGGCTGGGAGATCAGTGGTCGTTCGAGACGAAGGAAGAACGGAGACAACGGGTAGGTTAGATTTTAAAGTTTAGATTGTGGGGTGGTCTGCCGAGAGGTCCCGGGTTCGAGTCCTGACATGTTCCCCCTCATTAATTATGCAAATAAAGTCCTCATTTGTATAATCTGCATTTGATTATGTACACCTCTCTCTCAGCTACCTACCTACCAAAAATGATGAAAATACGTTGTTCCTATCTGGACTTATATATTGGCTTTCAAAGATTTCGCCCGAAGGTCCCTGCAGTTCCAAAACAAGCTGCTAGGGGGAACAAACCCACACCACTTATTCCTGACAGGAAAATCTATTTGTCACCAAAAATTGAAGACCATGTTCAGGACAAAAGATACAAAAACCGGAAGTTCTGCTGCAGTACCAAGGTCATCCACCAGGAGGCCCATATTTGACCTAAACCTCTGTCTTCCTAAGGCTTATCAGCATACCAAATATCATCACAATCCATAAATGCGTTATGAAGTTATGCTGACTACAAATGTGCGGAGACATGTCAATGTATTAAATTGAATTAAATTTAGACCACAGAAAGTTAATCAATCAATTTTTTTATTCGCCCGTTTGATATTTTTCTCAGTTGCAAATAAAAGAAGTATTCAGGTTATGAATCAAGTCCAAATTGCCCCATATCTTGGCCCCAACAGTTGCGGCAAGTCCTTGTCTGCCTAAGTGTTACTTTTTAATTTTCCCATCAAACAATGCAGTGCTTTGATCAAAAATTCAAAATTCATTGTTTGAATTGCAAACCAGCCTGGTATGTTTCATGGTAGCCTTGGCTAACTTCGAATTCATGGCTCTTAAATATATTTTGACGTCGCTTCATAATTTTACCTGGGAAAAAAATCCGGGAACTCACAAAGCAAATGTGTGCTTATTCATTTTTAAGATCACTTGTGAATATAATAAGAGTGCCTTGGCAACATGTGATCATAACGCATTAGTTACAATGACACTTCCTTTACCCTAACACATTGCGAGAAGCATAGAGACACACAGATAGATAGATAGATAGATAGATAGAAAAACTTAATACATTTCTTGAAGTAACTAACGGGTTAATCTTTCATTGCAATCTGTAGATTAAAATGCTTCTCTCAATCTGTTGCAGCTTCGACGACAGCTATGGCGCGCAATGATATGTGTTCGAGTGATCTGCCGGATGCAGATAGTGATGAGGGCGTCATGGGCTGGAAAGGACGGGGCCACTAACATCCTGTCGGAACTACATTACTACGCCATAGACGGAGACAATGGCTCACTGGCTTTCGACAAGAACAAATTTTCGAGGAAAGCTTCGGTAAGAAACCTCATATAAGATAAAGAGGGGACAAAAAGGCATACTGTGCGTAATATAGAGGCAACAAAGTTGTTATATACATGGTACAATAGCTTCAACCGGTTCTTAACTTATCTTCCCTCAAATACTTTTAAACAAACCATAAGAGACTGCTAGGAGGCCACAGGTTACTGTACCTTTTTTAGGCCCAAGAGATAGTCAAAATCCATGGCCCTAGCATGTCCAGATCAGAAGATAAGACTAAAAGTTACTCTGCAATACCACAATAACCCGCCAAAATCTAATCAAGATGTACCCACCTACCAAGTTTCATGACAATTCATGCATAGCTTCTTGAGTTACCGCCCTAAACAACACACACACACACACACACACACACACACACACACACACACACACACACACACACACACACAAATACACACACACACACACACACAAACACACACACATACACAAACACACACAAACAAACACACAAACACACACACACACATACACAAACGCTAACAAACACATAACCTTCTTTATTTTCCTTAGTTACACGTTCCGGAGTGGGCGCGGAGGATTACAGAGAAGAGACAAGAACTCAGGACGACTGCGGAGGTGCACAGGCTGTACTCCATCCTGAAATTAATCCGCGCTTTTGAAAAGTACACCTATGACGTCAAGATGCAGCTATGTCGCCATATCTTCTATATGAAGTAAGAATAATGTATTCTCTGCTTACATTCGTTATATTATCTCCTTTGGGGGTTTAAGTGTATTCTTCCTTCTTTGAAATGATTATTCATAAGGAAAATTTTGCTGAATAGGTACTGTTCACTGAACAGTCAAGTTAAAGGTTATAGCTTTGTGTTCAATAAAATTAATTGAATTACTGATGAATATAATTTTTCGATATTGTCTCGTAGGCCATGTTTATTTGATTATATGTATGACATCCGCGGGTGCATGGATTTTCGTCCGTTTCAAAAAAAAGAATCGACTATGCAGTAAATTGTACAAAGCAGCTGCGTATGTCGTAGAATGCCAAAATCAATTCCAAAGGAATGTGGGAGAATGTGAAGAAACGAAAATGAAGAAAATGCCCATTACTCGCTATAACCATACTCTGCGTACTTTTTGTTCTTAGTTTTTGTTCAACCTTAGTGGCCACGTAGATTTCATAATGAAGACAATTTTTTGGGCCATTTTCCGCATGTTTGCAGCGGTTTGCATTCATATAGTAAAACCAACATGGGATTACCTGTGAGAAAAGCCGACTGGTCTAGCGGACTAACTCCCCTGGCACGTTTTCTGTCTTTTTGGCCAATTTCTACTCTTTCCCAGCCGCCTCTAAAGCCTGGTAGACGCTAGAATGGAAGTACAAACAGAAAATGAAAGTACCAACATGAAATGAAAGTACCCACAGAAAATGAAAGTACCCACACATAATAAAAGTACCCACAGAAAATGAAAGTACCCACAGAAAATTAGAGTACACACAGAAAATAAAAATACTCACGGAAAATGAAAGTACCCACAGAAAATGAGAGTACACACAGAAAATGAAAGTACCCACATAAAATCTAAAGAAAGTACTCAGAAAATGAAAGAGGAGTAAAAAGTTACCACTGGCTCCGTATTGTCTCCAACTGGACTACCCAGGCCCTGAGCCAGACCAGAACCTCGGAGGACGTGATCTTTTTTGAGAACAGGTGAAAAAATGCGCGCGTGGATGTCATCCATAGACTTAAGTCGGTGTGGCCTAATCAATATAATCAACTGATTTGTTAATCGCTAATCGGTTATTGGTTGTATGTTAGTTGTGAGAAGGGCCGACTGGTTCTACGACAGGGCCACATCGGGGAGGGGTTCTACTTCATCTTCTCCGGGTCCGTCCTGGTGAACAAGATCGAGCACGACCACCGGACAGGCGAGCAGGTCACCCGGACTGAGACCGTACTGTACCCGGGGGACAGCTTCGGGGTGAGTTTAATATACACAGTACCTGTATAGAGCAACCTGTGCCGACTTTTTCCGAGGCAGCGTTTGTTTCTGTGAGTGGCTAGGGCTGCGGTGTCTTTTCGGGGAAGGGCCGGGGTGGGGGATGGTCGGAGAGCTATATCCTCAGAGAGACTGATACAGCTCTCTCCACGCGGGTACAGATCTCCCCCGAATAAGATCTTCCCACGAAAAGACACCGCTTCTCTAGCCGCTCGTAGAAGCAAACGCTGTCTCTGTAAAGTCTACGCAAGGGGCTTGACAAAGCTATCATGCAAGGGACGGTACAGGGAGGAGGAAAGAGGCGTAGACAACGGATAAAATAGAAGGGGCATATCAGAGAATGGAGCAGCACAACAGAAAGCGTTACGTTAAGAAGAATACAAAATCGAGAAGGGTGAATATAACTGGTTGTCAGATCTTATGTTTATTTCTTTCTTTCTCTTTCTTTCTCTCTCCCTCTCTCTGTCACACACATACACACACCCGCACGCACGCACGCACGCNCGCGACGCACACACACACACACACACACACACACACACACACACACACACACACATACTCGCAAACAATATATTTCAGTTCAGGTAGTTGATGATTTAGCAAGCGGTTTTAATAACATGTGTGTTCAACAGGTTGATTTAGGGAGGATTAAGACCGTCTCAGGCACCGTCATTCAGGGTCGACGCATTGCCAACCAGTGGGTGACTTCCTACAAAGTACAGTACAGTACCTATGGTACCGCATGGGTTACCTACGCAGGCAATGATGGTGTTGAAACGGTAAGTACAGACAGAACATTTAAATTCTTCTTTTATCGAAATCGAAAGGTAGCCTTGCCTGCACCAAATATATCAACCTTTTTCGAACCGAATCATTTTTAATGTGACGTCATTCGAACCGAACCGTCATTCGACCCCAGATCCCGCGGTCATTTACAGTAAACTCGCAACAACCCGCTACTTCAAGCCCCTTTTAAATGGGTTTCGCCTAACAGTAAGAAATCTACTTTTTTACAAATATAAACCGACTTCGGGACAGTACATCTATGCCGCCATTTT